CTTTGCTCCTCCTGACGTGTCTGCTGAAAAGGTGGTGCAGGACTGGCACCAGTGTTTGCACTCAGGGTGTGGCAGAGTCCAGCTGAGAGATCTCTGGTTTGTTTTGGGTTCTGCAGTGAGCAAAATAGTGAAAGAACAGCTGTGGCTTTGATTTGTAACAGGGGCTGCTCCAGCTTTCCTACCCCATAACTCTTTCAGCAGTTATGGATTATGTGTTAATTCTGCAGGAATTAGTCATAACAGCAGCATCAGTGCAAGTCCCTTCCTGTGTTCATGGATCAGTTGATGAAATTCACTCTTACAGCAGTTGTGGAGCTACAAGTGACCATCCTTAGCCTCTGTTTTCCTTGTCCAGTCTCAGGCAGCAACATCAGCTCTGAATGCTGCTGTTTCAGTAGCTGGAATTTCAGATTGCTGCATCTGGCTGGGCTGCTCATCATCCCTGAGGCACAGGTGGAGGGTGATGTTGCTCTGATGAAAAAAACACCCTTTAACTGGCTGTATTTGAAAATAGATTTGTTTTTCATAGATTAGGGCCATAAAGTCTCCTTACCTTTCAAGGATGTCTGGCTATGAAATTTTCATCACCTAAAATTTCAGGTTTCAGTGTGTTTACAAGACCTTTTGGAGATGTTTTTGACCTCCCAGCATCTGAGGAAGTTCAGACAGGAGGAATCTGCTGGGGGCTGCCATTAGAGACTGATCCCCCTGTGTCCCTTCCTAAAGCACTGCTTCAAACAGGCACTTGATGGCACGCTGCAGTAGAAACACACAGTTCTCTCCACTGAAATTAAGGACAAGGATCCTTAATCACTGGCAGGAATTGCTGCTAAATCCAGTGGTCCAGCTGCCCCTGTAGCCCCTGTACTTCTGTCTGCTGAATGAGGTCCAGCTCAACAACTCAGTACTAAAAAACTCCTGCTCAATAACTCAAAAACTGATTTATTTTCAGACTAGAAGGACCCTACTGGAGCATTTTATTGTTGGTTGTAAAAATTAAGTGATGTTAAGTACAGCAGGTTGTAAAAACCAGGACAACATTTCCTAATGTGCTTCTCAGATACAGAAGCCAGAGTCTGGCTTGTTTGGATAGCAAGAAAACTGGGCTTTGGGAAAGCTGCAGGATACTGAAATACAGGTGGTGCTTAACTTAGGCATGAAACTTGACATGAACCAGGCTGGCAGCATTCCCAAAAGCTTTCTGGAAGCACAGCCTCTCTTGGAGCCTTGGGCACAGCAGTGCTCCACACACTGAGGTGTGTCCTCCTTCCTGGCATGCTGCTCCTGGCTGGGGCTTGGGGACAGAGGTGACACATGCCTGGGGCTCAGCAGGAGCTCAGGGCACACACATCCCAGCAGTGCTCCTCACAGCTGGGGCAGCTTCTCCCCTTGCTGCCCAGGCTGCAGCAGAGGTTCTTGCACTGGATGTAGGCAGCAGGAATCTTTTCAAATCCCTGGGAGTGCCCAGCAGTGCTGGCTGCACTACAACCTGTAATCTCCATTAGCTGCTGCCTGGGCACCAGCAGGGCTGGAAGGGACAGAGCATCTGGAGAAAAATCCTGCCCAGCTCCTGAAATAGAGCATAGCTGACCTGTAAAAGATCCTGGCCAGTCATCTGTTATCTTCAATTGGCTGTCTTGTCCTCATGCAGGTCTCTAACCGGCCGAGGTGCAGTGAAATTAGATCCATTTTACATAGCATAAATATTTAACAGCTCTAGAACATGTAGTTTAATATTAAACAGACAGTCTTATAAATACTTCAGAATTATAGATGCTGTCACAGTACTTGGAAATGACTTGATAGGATCTAGGAGAAATATTTAGGTTTGACAGGAGAGGAAGTGATGGAGTTAGAGAAATCAGCCACATTTTTAACTGCTAGAGGAGTCCGTAAAAAAAAACCCCAAAAATGTTGTACAGCTTCTGTTCTTGAAAGGCAATTTGGGTGAGTTTCCTCCTCCAGAAATAACAGACGGTTCCCACCCTGCTCTCTTCAAGTAATGAAAACATTCACAATCTTAAAAAAACACTGCAGAACAAACAGAACAATTTAGGAGCCAATGTTCAGTGATCCATTCAGTGTGGGATTATCGTTATTAGAATGGCAAGTGGTCCTTAATGAGGGATTTAGATGCTCTTGAGCTTTGTTATTTTAAGCCCATGTACTACGTTTTGCCACCTAAGAGGGTTTAAAATTTATTATTTGTAGATTTGCTTTTAAAAAAGTAAACAAAATCCCACCTGACCCATAAGCTGAGCCCCAGTGCCACTGGTTGTGGCAGTGACTGGTGTCTGCAGCACAGGGCTTCAGAGGGACTGAGGAGGCACTGTCCCAAATTTGGGAACTGTTTCAGTTCTCTCTCCTGTCCACCAGCTTCCTGTGTGATCCCTGAAAGTCATTTCTCTCCCCAGCAGGTTCACAAGTCGTGTGCAGTCTGATTTCCCATCCAGTCTTTGAAAAGCATTTCAGGATTAGCCCCTCCAGGCCTCTGTTCCCATCTGTGAAACAGAGATAAAGCAGAACTCGAGAGAAATATGTTAAAATAAAAGGGTGGTACATTTTATCCCATAGGAGGCTGAACTGTTAAACAAGCAGGAAAGTTGTGTCTATTTCCAGTTGTGTCAGCAATGCAGGTCCACCCTAAAGTCATGGCAAAACTAACTTTGTACAGATTCTGTGTCCTCTGAGACAGTGGAATGATGTGGCAAGGCATAGGACTTCCAAACATTATGGCTCACTCAAACCTCTGGAGTTTCAGTGTTCTCTGGTAGTTTTGTGGCATTCCATAGCTTGCTTCCTGCTTTTGAAGTTGGCAGTAGCTTTCCCAGGTAGTTTTCTCTGATGTATTCTGCACAATTGCAGTGTTCAGTACAATGTGATTTCCAGTGCAGTGAGGTTACCAAGAATGGGACTTGTAAGAAGAAACTTGGGTCAGCTCTTCCATCAGAAATATTTCAGTTTATAGCCTGGAGAGGCAGAAAAAGCACAGAGGCTTCTCTGCACCTTGGAGACCTGAGGGGTTGGTGTGAAGCTGAGAGCTGTGGGCTGAACTGGACCAATTCCTGATGCAGAGATTTCTTGGAAGATGCCCCCTGAGTACTGCTGAATTTTTATCCTGGAACATGTTTGAATCCATTTCAGTGGAAAACGGTGCTCTGGGTCAGGTTCAAAGTGTGGTGAAGAGCCACAACTAAGTTTTAATGTGTCCAAAGGAGTGTGACATTTCCTGAGAATTTGTCACCTGGCAGGGCCTCGGGTCTGTGATGCTCCCTGTGCACCTGTCCCATGGTTGCACTGATGCAGAGAGAAGCTGCTGTGACAGCAGATTTACAAACCACTGCTGGGGCACTTTGGTTCTTCCTTTGAAACAGAGAAAGCAGGTGGTTTCTTTCTTTGCAATGGGCGTCTGCTAAGGAAGGCAGGAGCCTCCCTTGGGATGGAAAACGTAACCCCTTCCCTCCAAATTATTATAACTTTGAATTAAGGGGCTTTTAGGCAAAAGTCTGGGAAATGACAGTATTTTTGCTAGAAGATGTGTGTATAACAAGGCAAACAAGCAAACAGCAGCAGCACAAGGCCAGCCCCAGCCGTGTCCCTGCAGAGGGGAGGGGGCTCAGGGGTGCTGGGTCTCCCTGGGCACCCCAGCAGATGGTGAAGGACCTTTGGTGCTTTGGTGTTGGTGAGGTCCCAGTTCCATGGCTGCCCTCACAAGCAGGGGCTCACCCACGGCAGAGGAAGCAGGACCAGGCTGGGCTCCAGTGATGGCAGCAGCTCCCCCATCCTCCTCCTCCAAAGAGCACAAGAGCCAGCAGCTGCCCCAGCCCCTTTGGTTTTTTTCCCCAGCCCAACTCTTCCAGTATCTCTGCCTTCCCCAGAGAAACCCCCAGGTAAAAAGAGAGAGCAGCCAGCTGGACCCCTCCCCTGAGCTGTGGCCACTTCTTTTGCCTCTCTTAAGTAGCTGGTCATTATTGTCTCCTAGCAACACATATAGCAGAAAATTCTTTTAGAGAAATAAACAAAAAGTCCTAAACCCCAACACCCGCCCAGCCGACCTCCACTGGTAGGTGGAGACTCTCCCTTTGTAACTCAGATTTGTTTATGCTGTGCTGCCCTTGGTGAAGCACTCACACATCAGGGCAGGTGTGTGGTGTGCTGGGGCTTCCCAGGGATGTAAGAATCCAGGAGTTCCCACTGGGGTCAGTGAGCACCTGGGCTGGAAAGCAAGTCCAAAGGTCTCAGAGTGTGAGGGTGTCACCTCTGACAGCTCACAGGGCCCTGCTGTGTGTGCCCCTGTCAAAGGCACTCGCTCCTGTCCCTGGGCAGTAAGAACTGAGTGGGAGGGGACAGGAGAGGAGTTGCTGCTGAGGAAGGTGGGATTTTCCAGCATGTACTGCAAGGACAAGCAGCAGGGGCAGGGGATGGACTTGGCAGGGATATTGCTGCTGTCCCTGGGTCCCTCAGAGCAGACAGGAGCTATCCCCTCGCTGTCCCCATCCCAGGAGCTGCAGGACAGCTCCTGCCTGGTGACACAGCCCTCCCTGCCACACGCTGCCCGTCACCCAGGAGCAGTGCCTGGAACACCAGCAGGTCTTCAGGAGCTGCAAACTGAAAGGCAACTCACTTTTTCTTAATTTTTATCAGTGATGACTGTTTACATTTGTGCTCAGGCTCAAGGACACCAAGAGCCACTGCACAACCTTGTCCTGGCTTAGGGAAATGGTAGCTACCTGGATGCCTTTGGGATCTTCCCAAATCCTTGTCAATTAGTGCCAGCAATGTTATTTGGCATGTTCCAGCCATTGTCAGCATTGCTGTCAGGCACCCTGTGTGACAAGATTTCAGCTTTATACCATTGTGCAGGACAGTTTTTAATGTCCCACTTCTTCAGGCACTGTTAAGCAACCAAAACCTGGATTTACCAGGCTGGTATGTTATTAGGAATGCATTTCTTTGCTAATTGCAGCTCTCACACAACACTTTTGTTTTCTCTTCCCCAGGGTGAACCAGCTTGTGATGCCACCAGCCTCTGTGAAAGTCTGAGATGGTGAGTGACCCAAACCAGCTGCAGGTTTCAAGCTACAGCTCTGCTCCAAACCCCTGTCAGCCCATTTCTTTCCTTATGAATTGCAGGGAAGTTTCCTTGGCAGCTCTGGTTTGCACCTTTGCCACCCTCAGTCCAAAGCAGAGCAAATCAAGGACAGGGAAACCAGGGGTCAACTCAAGTGTCCTTTGTGGTACTGAGTTGCTTCCAGAACCTGCTGTTCCCTTCTTTGAGCAGAAAAGCCCATGTTACCCATTCCCCTTGACCAGTGTGACTGTCCCAGGCCAGAACTGAAAACCTTCTGGTGTTCACAAAACCTGCTGCTGCCCTGCTCTGGGTCAGACATGGGCTGCTACCAAACCACCATTTCTGGCATAGTCCAGATTTTCTGCACAAAGTGTTTCCTGGCAGCACCTGACCCTGCATTGTTGCTGGACTGTCCCCTCTGAGCCCTCCATCCAGGGCGACTCCTCTGAGCCAGAGGGACCAGGGGCTGTCCCCTTCCTGCTGCCCCCCTGTCCCTTGTGCTCATGCTGCCCTTATCACTCCCCCTCAGCCACAGTGCTGCTGCTGGAGCTGCCACAAGTGATAAACACTTCCCAGCATTTCACTGGAGCCAAAATTAATTAAAGCAAGTTTTTGAAGAGGAGATTTCTTTCCCATAAATTAAATGCATTGAAAGACTAATCAGAAAATCAGAACTCAATAAGACACTTCAGAATGGCCTTTTGAGGGAAAAGATTTCAGGCAATCTCTAGCACAGCAGATGTGTTATTTCCACAGAGGGGAGAGGATTTGGGCACAGGGCTGCCTGGAGTGTGCAGGCTCTGGGCTGGATGTGTATTCACACAGTATTGTTTAACAGTAGCTTCTAGATAAAGTTGGAGGGTTTTTTTAAAGAGTGCCATCAACAAAACTGGGAGGAAATCCTTGGTGCTGTTGCTGAAACTTGACTTATAAACCAGTGACTTATAAACCACACTGCCTGTGTCCTGGGCACACCAAGGTTTTTCACTGCACTTTCATCTTTTTTGGTCAAGTTTTATACAGCTTGAAAGACCAGGGCACCATCATAGGGGAATTTTTCTGTAATGCAGCAGCCACTAATTTTTAAGGTCGGGGGCACTTTCCTGTATAACAGGGAGCACAGACCCTCTCACAGGAAATCCTGTAGTGAGAGAACTGCTTATCCTTGCCCCATTATCTAGGAAAGCAGTTGGCCTAGAGAGGCCACACAGTGGTGCCTCAGCAGGGAGGAGAGGTGCTGACATGCTCCTTAGAGCCAGCATGGGCCACCAGCAGTGCCTGCTCTGCCGTGTCTGCAGCATACTGAGCTGGGCTCTGCTGGGCTGCACCTGAGCTGGGCTCTCCAGGGGACAGCTGTTCCTAAAATGACAATTCAAGGCACAAGGCAGCCCCTCCTTAGTGAACTGAGGGGGTCAAAAGCAGTCTACAAGGCTGGAGCCTGTGGTGTGCTGAGCTGCCTCAGCCCACAGCAGGAGCAGCTGTGCCTGCACATCTGCCCTCCAGGGCTGCAGGGGAGCTCCAGCTGCTGCTCCCCCCTGAGCAGGCTGGGCCAGGGTCACAGGGCCTTTGTGCCCATTCCAAAAGGCTTCAGCACATCCCTCCATGGGCAGGCTTGGCCAAGCCCCTGCTTGCACAGACACCAGGGGTCTCTTAGCTGGCCCCACCACCCCGGGGCTGGGCTGCACCATCAGCAATCCATAGCTGGAGCTTGCCAGTGACCCCCTTCTGTTCCTGTTTGCAGCTGCCAGTGCAGGCAAGGACGCGTGGACTCCTGCTCCCACCTCACCAGTCTCCATCTGGAGCCCTTCTGTGCTGGGTACCAGTGGATCCTTCAGCTCCACATCACAGAGGGGTCTGCACACCAAACCCATCCCTCGCTCCAGCCTGCAGGGTCAGGCACAGGAGATGAGCAGGGCAGCTGGGAACGTGGCAACTTCTGGAACTGAGGACATTCACGGGGTCCCCTGAGCATGGAAACCAACTGTCCATGGACCCAGGGAAAGCTGCCCAAGTGAGCAACTGTAGATTGTGTAAATGGTTTTAGTTGTAGCCAGTGAAGTCCACGTTGTTTGTAGGGCAGCTGGTGTCCTATGGAATGCTGCTGCTCTGCCAGCACTCCCACTCCCACAGACTGCACTAGTTGAGGACCTGTTCTGTACATCACCTTTTCTTTGACACTGAAGGCTTGATTCAGATTATTATTTTTTATTTAAATATGTTGTAAGATGCTTTATCTCTGCTGGAGACATTAGATGAGATATATATATAAATATACTTAGATAAATTTTTTATTTAAACATCTGAAATCTGGAGCTGCCTGTGCAACCACAGCAGACAAGAATAACGTCCACAGCTCTCCTCCTCTCAGTGCCCTGGTGCCAGGGCACTGGAAAACTTCCAGTGGCTGACCTACCTGTCACTGACACTGAGCAGTGGGACAGAGGAGAGAGTTTCACTGCACTGGGTATGCTGGTGGTTGTCACAGAAGGGCCCAGAAGAACGTTGGACAGAAATCCCTACAGGCTCTAGAGTTTTCCATATGCTAAATTCAGCCTTCCTAGGAGGTTCACAGGCTTTTCAAATACCAAATTCCACCTGGCTGAATGGCTGCACCTTGGGCCTGGGAGTGCAGTGCTGCTGTGCCAGTGACCTCATGCTTTGTTTACATGATTCCATATCACTCAGACTGTCAGTGCTGATTCTCCTGCCAACATCCCAGAGCAGGGGGCTGACACTGCCTTCAGAGCAGTGCCTGGCTTCCTGCACACCCAGCCTGGCCTGCCACTAGGGTGTATTGTACCTGTACAAAGGTGCCTTGGAGAGCTTTCAGACAAGGCCAGTGCCTGAGCTGGGTTAGACTCAAATGCAGAACATGTCATGGAGCCATTCCACTGGAGTCCTGTGTCCTGGACCTGGCTCCACAAGCCACACTGGTGCTGTGGCAGCTGGATGGGGAAGGAAGGGGAGCACAGGTCCTGAAGGAAACCAGGCTGGCACATGAAGGGCACTGCCACAGGGAGGGCAGTGGCTCAGCAGGCCCCTTCCCTCTGTTCTGAGCCCCCTCACAGTTCAGATCCCCCCTCCAGTTCAGCACAGCTCGGGCAGGTGCCAGCACCTCGTTCTTGTGCTCATGGCTCACAAGTGACTGCACTTGGGGTCCAAGGAGGACTAAATCAGCTCAGGAAATGTCAGAGCAGGATTAGATGTGAGTTAAGGCTGGAGCTGCTGTCCTGCTTGTGCAGATTTCTCAGATTTCTGAGGCACAGCAAGGTACTGTTAGTAAATCTGGGTTTATCTCCCATTCCCTGCCAGGATGTGCTGGGACCTACAGCACAGCCCTGCAGCAGAGATGGCTCTAATTCCAGGTGCTCACCCCATGGCAAGTCCCTGCCCAGCTGGGGATTCCTAGAATCCTCCTCCCAGACCTCACAGGACTCCTCTGCAGGGGTTTTGTCACCTGAAATTCCTTAACAATAGCTCTAAAGAGCCAGAAGTGTTCCTCTAGTGCCTGAGCAAGCAGGTGCTAGAAATAACAAAGCAAAGCAAATCCAACAATGCTGCACTTCCTACCTCGTGCCACTATTTACACTCGAGGGGAAACACAGCAGCTGTGGTCTGGGAGCCAAACACTTGGCTTTAAAGGCACATGAATTTCTGATTCCCATTAAGAAATTCCTTTTTAAGCTGTTTAAAAGGAAACAAAAAGCAACCCAACAATCAGTCATTTCATCTCAGAGACCAAAGAAGATTAACCACATTTTCTAAATTGCTTTTCTGATAGGCTCTCTGTTGTAGCATTTATTGTCAACAAAATGGAACATTTCTCTTAAGGTTCAGAGATTAGGAATTCTCCTTAAACTTAATTCTCAGGAGTCAGCAGTGAAAAGGGAACTGAAGTGTTCTGCAATCCTTGTTTGTGACAGGCTCCAGTCCCTGTCAGAGCTGTGCTGGTTTTATCCTTTGTGCACATGAAGGAAATAACTGTGGGTTCTGTTTGAACAAGGACAGAGGGAAGGGAGCAAACAAAGGAGTGAGAATGAGCCCTGCCTTCACCAAGGGATCCCTGAATCCCTGCTCCCACATGTTCCAGGCTAAGAGAGGGAGGCTCAGGCTTCTTCAGATCCTTCAGATTCAGCAGGGGCTGTGCAAGTGTCCAGAGGCACCAGGGAGGCTCCAGCTGCCCCTCAGTTAATCACCAGGCTTTTCTCCTGCTCCACTTCATAAAGGGGATATTTTAGAGCATTAACTCCCCCAGCTGATCCTGCACTGGCAGTTTGTACACAGTGGGAAACTGAGGCAATGGGACCTGGCCCAGAGGCACAAGAATGGCCCAGAAGGCAGCAAGCTGCCATCCCCAGGGGCTCCCAGAGCAGGTCTGGGGGGCCCCGGGAGCCTCTCCCCTCACAGTCAGGGTGACTGAACCCCTGAAAGGTCTGGCTGTGCTCTGGGAAGCAGAGTTCTTCCAAGCTCCACCCCAAATGCTTGTTCTCTTCTCCATTGGCTTTATTGTCTGGCAAACCAGCACTTATAATCACTTTTACTACGTGATGTATGGGAGTATTAGTATATTTTCTTGTTATACAAGGGAGAAGTATAAAATAGTTTTCTGATTTCTTTCAGAAGCAAATGACTATTTTATTTTTTAAGAGCAATTGATTGTGAATCTCAGAGTATAAAAAAAGAAAAGATAAGCCAAATATATACCTTTATGTAAATTAAGAAATAAAAGTATTTAAAATGTACCCCCTGGCTCCTTTCCTTGTGTCACCTCTTGGCTGTGCACTCCTGTGGCTGCTGCCTGCAGGGCTGGTCCCTGGGATGAGGATGCTCCAAGCTCCAGCAGCCACAGGGCTGCCAAGAACTTCCCTGGACACCAGCCTGCCTGGCCTTCGTGGAGAAGTAACACCAGGAGCAGGGAGGGTGGTGGATTCCAGCCTCCTGTGCAGCTCCCAGAGCTGGAGCCAGCCAGGAGCAGAGCTGGGGAAGGAGTCAGTGTGGGCCTGCAGAGGTGGGGCCCTGCTCCAGCCCCATTCAGCCCCTCACAGCACAGCTGAGCTGGGGGGTGTGGGAGGGATGGCTCAGGAGGGTGCACAGGGGGGGCAGGAAATGATTCCCAGGTGGTCCCACAGTGGGCATCAAGGCTGCCCTTCTCCAGTGATCACAGGGACAAAGGAGAGAAGGGGCTGGTCCTGCAGCTCAGCCCTGGGCTGCTGTGACACCAGACAAAGGTGTCTGAGGCTCCCCTGACCAGCTGGGAGAGACCCTCCCACACCCTTCAGTGTCCTCCTTCAGCACAGGGCAGTGCCCAGCCAGGAAGCCACAAAAGCAAAGCTCTGTCACTTAAAACAACCATCTCTGATGGCCTTTTGTCAGTGCTGCTCGGGGCTTTCAGCTTAATCATTCTTGTAAATTACTTGATTAAGAATAATTTTCTAAATTCTGATGTTCCAGCAGATAGATAAGCTTTGAAGTTCAGCAGCTTTAGCTTCCATCCATCAACTACTGCCAAGAAGAGTGTGCTGCCCACACTGGGTTTGGAGCAGGGCCATACCTGTGTGTGTGTTATGTGTGTGCCCCCACACATGTGCTCGCTCCCCATCCCTGCCTCACAAACCTTCACAAACCCTCCCCTCAGTGCCTGTAGAGCTCTCACAGGGCCACCCAGGCTGTGACAAACAGCAGCCTCGTGGGCTGGCACAGGGTGACTGCCCTGCCCCTCTCCTGAGCTGGTCTGTGTGTGCTTTGTGCCCTGCTGTCACTGGTGCATTTACATTATCACTGTGCAGAGGTGCTGACTGCATGGCAGCCTCTCCTGAGCAGCTCCAACACTGCCCCCCTTGCCCAGAGTCCCTGGCAAAATCTCTGTATGACATACAGGGTATTACATCAGAAATCACAGGAACATGGAATGGGCTGGAAGGACCACAAAGACCAATTAATTCCACCCCCCTGCCGTGGGCAGGGACACCTTTCCCTATCCCAGGCTGCTCCAAGCCCTGCCCAGCCTGGCCCTGGGCACTGCCAGGGATCCAGGGGCAGCCCCAGCTGCTCTGTGCCCCGTGCCAGGGCCTCACCACCCTCCAGGACTCCACGGGCCTGGATTTGTCCCCTGGCTCTGGCCATCCTCCAGCAGTGCCCCTCCCCTGAGCTCAGTGCCCAGGGCCTGGGGCTTTTCTCTTGCACCCAGAAGAGCCCAGGACAGCTGAGAGGAAAAGGCTTCATTTAAATCAGAGCATGTTCAGTCATCTAAAGCCCTAATGGATGAGCAACAGACAGGACCTGAATTCAAGTAAAATGAAACCTCTGTGATTATTAAACAGCCCAAATACCTGCTGGTGAAGCACAATTTGACTTGTGGGATTGGTGACTGCATTCTATAAGCAGTGCATCAAAGCCAGCCCAAAGTCAGGTCATTTAACCGGCCAAAGAGGGCAGCATGACTTGCACTGTGCCCTGCAGCTCTGCTGTCCCTTTTCCCCTTGACCACTCTGCAAGTCCTGGAGACTGGGCACAGCCATGAGCACAGAAAGCAGAGGCCAGGCAGCCTCTCCAGCCCCACAGCTGGCACTACCCAGTGGCCATCCTTGTGTCAGAACCAGCAGCTGGCACCGCTTTGGCCTCGTGCTCTGCCCTTCCCACAGTGACAGTGACAAACTGATCCCCACGAGCTCCTCACTGCAGCGACCCTGGCACATCCCAGAGCAGCTCAGCCAGGCCCTGTGGCCTCAGCGTGGTGGCTCTGGGTGCCACAGCTGCTCTCCCTGCAGGCAGGTGAGGATTCCCTCTCCTCCAGCTCACTCTTGCTTCCCACCCACCAAACTGCCTGCTGTTCCTCTGGTTCCACACAGCAGAGGCACAAATTCCCAGGATGTCCTACTTAACAAACACAAAGAAAGAAATCATTAGTGAGACACTTCAGATCTGAAGCCCCTTGTCCCCTTTGGAGCCCCTCTGGATCATTAAACCAGGGGCAGCCTGACCTGCTGGCCTCCTGTGTGCTGCATTTGCATAATACATGAAAAGTCATCCCCGGGGACAGCTGGAGGGCTGAGCTGGGATTGAGGTTTTAACGAGGCAATGAACCAGCAGGAAATGGCAGAGGCAGGGCAGCACCCCCAGTGTCAGTCCCAGCCCCACTGGAGCAGAGGTGCCCTTTTTCCTGGAGACAGATTGGCAGTAATTGCCAGCACCTGCCTGGGAACAGAGATTTGCAG